ATATGGCAACCTGGATGAAACAGGGGAAGCTATTAGCTGATGCCTTCGCAGTAAACATCTGTTTGCTCATCCCCAAGGAGGCATGGCTTGAGATCCAACCCTGCCTGCTGCCATGCCCAGACTGCTTCCCCGCACCTATCCAGCTGCACTCTCCTGGCAAATGGTATGCTGAACACATGTGTGTTGTGTGACCCCCTGCCTTGCTGCCATGCCTGGACCCCTCTCCTCCTCATGGTCCTGTGGGAAGAGAAAGTTGCACTCTCCCAGTAAACAAGGGTGCTGAACACATCGGCAACATGTGAGCCCCTATCCTGCCTCCATATCTAGACCCCCTTCTGCCTGCAAGCTCGAGCCCTGGCCTGTCCCCTACTATGCCTGCCACCAAACTGAATCCAGCTGCTTAACTAAGAACTCTGTGGTATACCTGCTGCATAGTATCTTTAGACAGACTTTCTTTTTTTGCTTACAGATTAGGTTTTATGCTCTACCAAGTGTTTCCTGTAATGTCTGCCCTTCACTTTTTGTTGCAGCTGGAACAGCAGCGACCATGCTGCACACTCCTCCAGGTCTACCAGCTATCCTGCTGGCACAAATACGCAGGTGAAAATAGAGTAGGAATGACATGTTCAAGGAGCAAATGCAATTCAGCCCACTTGGACTGGGAGTGTTAGTGGGGGAATACTCTGCTGCTGGAGATGAGAACAGAGTGTGAGCACAGGAGAGCATGCAGGGAGCTGAAAGTAAAGAACCAGAGAGAATCCTGAAGTCCATGTGATGAACCGAATGGCAGCCTTCCAGGCCAGCTTCAGGCACTCTCTCCAGCCCTCACTGAGTTCTATCACTTCCTCTCCCAGAGGCCTAGAATGTGGGAATGGGGGAAGTAGAAAGTCAAGGGCAGCCTCACACTCAACCTCCAGAGCAAAAAGCTGTCCTCACAATTATGAGTTCCCACCATGAGCTCCTTTTCTTTTCTCCCTGCTGTGTTCTCTAAAAAGGGATGATTTCTGAACAGTCTCTTTATTGCTTGTGTTGAAGGGGGAGGCGAGGTTTACAGGCAAGCACAATGAATGCAGGAGCACCTCTTTGAGAGAATCATGCGTGACTCTCAAGTCTGGCCATTCATAAAACTGTCTTTCAAAGCATTTCTGATTTTCAGTGTCACTTGCTGTGCGCTTTTCTTATAAATCTGTATCTGGCTGCTCAGAATTACTGGCTAGACACTGTGCCTCGGCATCAGCATTCCACCCTGACAGATGCATTTTCCCTTTGCTCTCAATATTATGGAGTACACAGCAGGCTGCCACCACAATGGGAGTATTGTGTTCCCTGAGGTCTAACCTATTCAGTAGATTGCGGAACCTTCCATTAACACCCAAAAGCACATTCTACCACCATTCTGCACTTGCTCAGCCTGTAGTTGACTGTTCCTTACTACAGTCTAGATTACCTGTGTATGGCTTCATGAGCCATGAGGGCAAGGGAGGGGCTGGGTCGCCAAAGATTACTATTGACATTTCAATGCCTCCAACTGTAATTTTTCATTCTTGGAAATAATGTTCCAGTTTGCAGTTTCTGAAGAGGCAGGATTTCCTATAGATGTGCGCATCATGCACCTTTCCCAACCATTCTACACTGATTTAGGTGAAATAGCCCTTGTGATCCACCAGTGCCTGCAGCATGATCAGAAGTACCTCTTCCAGTTTACGTACTCCTTGGCAAGATGGTTGGTTACCAAGATAGGGAAGTGCGTACTGTCTCTCGCCTCACCACAGTTAGTGAATCCCATTGCAGCAAACCCCTACACAGTGTCCACCATGTTTCCAAGACTCACTATTCTCCACAGCAGATGGGTATTGATTGCTTGCATCACAATGGCTCCCACTGTTGATTTCTCCACTCTGAATTGATTCCCAACTGACCAGTGGCTATCTGGCACTGCAAGCTTCCACAGTCAAAGTGGGTCTCATTCTCGTATCTTTTCAAAAAAGTTCCCTGAAAGTGGCCTTGTGCATGCAAAAGTTTTGCACCCATTGCTGATCAATCCACAGCTGTATCACTATGCACTCCCACAAGCCTGTGCTTGCATGAATAATCAGCGGAAAAAAGTGTGCCAAGAGACTGCTTGCCATTACTTTCAAGCAGGAGAGGAGGGAGGGAGGAAACAAGTGCATCAAGGGACACTGACAGCATGTAGTCAGAACCATCTGCTGCACACTTTCAGTCCCAGCATGCACTGGAAAATGCAAAGGGGTGCAGGAACTGTGGGATAGCTACCTACAAGTGCATCGCTCAAAAAGTTGATGGTAGCCACCCTATTGGGGATACACTACTTTGAACTTCACCAAATACTTGCACAAAGTGGGGACGTGAACCTTCGACTTTACAAAACGGGGTGCTAAAAAGCCAACCTTAATACATTCAGTCTTATCTTGTAGTACAAGACATGGCCTTAAAAATAATGAGATTAAAAAAAAAAATTCTGGTTTCTGGGCTTGTAGGGTTCTGCAATCATAAGTAGGGTTGCGTGATGGTTTTAACAAAAATACCGGACACACTTAACATTCTATCACAATCTACATTACATCTTATTTAGAAAATACCGGACATTTATATTTTCTCATTTATATTTTCTCAATTTGTTTCCTGAACAGAAAGCTCAAATAGTGGACTGTCCAGTTCAAAACCGAACACTTGGCAACCCTAATCATAAGCACTAGAAAGTTTTAAAAAGGTTTTAAGTGAAAGCTGAGATTCTCAATAACCACATGACTTCAGACCTGGTATCTTAAGAAAAAATACCAAACATTGACATTCACCAAAAGTTATCAGAAATCGTGAGATTAATATAATAGGGTATGTCTACACTACCCCGCTAGTTCGAACTAGCGGGGTAGTGTAGACATACCCATACTGATTTGATTTCCACTATAGTTCTGTTTTGTCCCTTCTTTATCCCTGCTATTACAGCTCACGCTTCCCCCAATTTAGCTGAGGAAGACAGACTGACCTGGGGGAAGGGCTGGACCCAGGCTGAAGGCGTCTTACCCAGTGTCTGGAAACCTGAGCACCCCAAAGCAAATGCAACTTGGGCCTTGAGAAGCTGCCAGACGGCCGGTCCCATCCCTCCGGGTGAGAATCTGCTTGTTCCTCCTGACTCTGCCCCGTGTGTTCTGCAGAGTTTGTGTTTGGTTAGTTCCTGATTATCTGCTTTGCTGTCCCTGAGACCCACGTCAATCTACTATTTGTAGTTAATAGGGGTATGTCTACACTACCCCGCTAGTTCGAACTAGCGGGGTAGTGTAGACATACCCATACAGATTGTCAGTACAGTTTAATAATCTTTTTATATATGTCACCAAATGATTTGTTTTTTCCTATCTCTAAAGCACCATTGTGATTCAGCTCCTGGTCCCACTGAAGTCAAAAGGAGTCCTGACAGTCACATAAAGGAGGCCAGGATTTCACCCAATGTGTCTATTTCTTTCTTGATTTGATATCTTAGTTTAACAGCTCAAATTTACTAAATCAGCACTTCTAACAATAGCATAGGCCGGGTATATTAAGGGCCTCAATGTGCTTTAGGGATTATAGTACATAAGAACACTCATTCTTATATATGCTAATAAAGGCCATTGTATATTAGTTATACACAGATTATATATTTTGGTTTAAAAAAAAAGTTACCTTTAAACTGAAATTAGATACCTTCTCAGTTTGCCAGAACTATCACATTAGTTGACCTCTTCCTATATAGTTAAGGTAAAGAAGATCTCAAGTACTCAAATTCAGATCACATCATATTTCTGAAGCTTAAGTTGAGTAATAAGATATGAATAGACTTTTGTAGTTAAGTAGAAAAAAATTCAGCATGTACACAAAGTTTCAAGATTAAAATAATATTAAGTCACTGAGAATTCAAAGTCCCATAATGAAAATATTAGCAGCCTTTACTACAACAGTAATGTGGATGCTACCTATAAAAATTATGTTGAACAAGTCACAAATCATACAAATTGAACCTCTGTGGTCTGGGATTCTCTGATCCGGAAACACCCATGTTCTGACAGGACCATGGAGATTGCAGGATCAGAGTGCCCCAGGGAGAGAAGCCAGGAGCCAAGTGTTGGGGCTGGCAATAGACTCAGCCCTGGGGCAGGAAGCTGGCAGCATGGAGCCCAGTGGCTGAGGCTGGACCCGGACCCGACAGAGCAGCCTGGCTGTGAGCACAGAGCCCACCCTGACAGTGCTGTCCAGCCTGGGGCATGGAGCCCACCAGTGTCTGGGGCCGGCAGTGCAGCCCAGAGGAGGCAGGTGCCAGCATGGAGCCCGGAGGGGAGTGCAGCCCTCTGCTCATGGACCCCGGAAGAGCCCGGAGTCCATTAGCAGAGGAGCTAGAATTGGTTTTCTCTGGTCCAGAAAAATTGTTTGGGACTGGTTCCCAGGTGCCAGACCAAGAAGGTCCAACCAGTATATTGGAACACAAAGAGAGAAAATATTGTGAGGTAAACAACAATGCTAATCACAGATGGGTAACTTTCTGTTTGACAACTAGATCATGCTTAAAACATGTTTAGATATTGGAATTCTATGGATTAATCACATCATGGGTGGCTTTTCCTCTTTTGTACTATGATAATTAAACCCTATTTAAAATATGGTAACAAAATAAGATAATTTAGTCTCTGATATTTTATAGCTAATTACATTTTCAATAAATTAAATTGTTTACATTTTAAGAGACACACTCTCAGCAGACGTAAATTGCCATAGCTTCATTGATTTGAAAGCAGCTATTAGAATCTGCATCAGCAGAAATTAACCCCTTTATTTCTTATGTGGTCTCTGTGCTATTTTCTACAAGAATTTTTAGAAATGGCAGATACAACTGGAATATCCACCAACCTTACTGTAATCAAGAGAGTAAAGGAATCAGAATTTATTAAATAGCTTTTGTAGTTTAATTGAAGACATGAGGCTGTTCATAAATATATCATACTTACCATTACAATAATTATAGTGAACCCACTGTCCATTTTTGGGTTTGGGAAGTGAGTGTGGAGTCTCTTCTGCAGGAAAACTGTATAATCTGCATTCTACGAACAGTTGCTGTATTGTTTCATCCATTATAACTCGGGAATCAGTGAGACTCAGCGATATAATCTCAATCCGAATTTTTTCTGCTGACTGTTTTAAAAACAAAAAAACCACAAACACACCATATTTTTTATAATGTCAACTTGAACAAACGTTTACATCACTGGGATGTTTGGTACAATAAAACATGATTCCTTTATGATGACAGAGATGCAATGAGGTTCTATTGACTGCTCTACACCTTTAAGCAGGAAAGTGTGTATGCAGTAATTTGGGTGGCTGACCAAATGCAGGGAACAGTGCTTTATGTCAGGGAGCACAGGGCGATGAAAACTGATGCAAAAGGGTCAGTGTGGTTGCTGACTCATTCTCTAGGAACATGAAGTTTAAAAGGGGGCAGTTCTGAGCCCAAAGCTTCCCTTTAACTTTGTTCCTGCCTGGCACGAAGGGCGGTACCCTATATTTCACAAGTCATTATTTAACATAAGGTGGAGGTCCAGTGCAGGTATTCCAAAGGAGAAGTATACAAGTGACTGGATAATATTTGGAAAATGACTTAAAAAGAGGTTCAGGGGGTAGCTGAGTTAGTCTGTTACAGAAAAAAACAACAAATGGTCTGGTAGCACTTTAGACTAACGAAACATGTAGATGGTAACAGGTAGCTTTCGTGGGCACAGCCCACTTCTTCAGATGACCGGAGTTATGAGTTGGGGATATAAAAACTCAAAATAAACAGGAGAAGGGAATGGGAGTGGGGAGAGAAAGAAAAAGGGAGGAGACCTATTTGGAAGTCCCAGACATCAAATAATAATAAAGTTATGGCCTGACTGAACTCCTGTCAAATACCTCCTGTCCTCCTCCTGGCATAGCTCGAGTGTGTCCCAGTGTTTGCAGTTAACAGTGTCTTTGCAATATATGCCTCTTTATATTTGAGTCTGAAAATACTTCCACAGTAGTCATACAGAGGTGGTGTAGTAAGAAAGACCCACTTGGGTAGTCCCCAACTTTGGATGGGTGGCGATGGACAGCAGGATTAAGCCCTAGAGCCCCAACCCAACTCTCTGATTGCAGTGCAATGTGAAGCAGGCCCAGGGTAAGCCCTGGTGCTCTACTCCACTCGCTTGCTGGACAGAGTGGAGCAGGGTAAACCCCAGCCCTGCTTCCTAGCTGGAGTACCAGGTAGACAGATGGGAGGTGGTTGGGCATGAATTCAAACTCGGCGGGACATGGCCCAACCGTGGCTATGCTCCTGATACATTTATCTTTCAGTAACTCATCCAAAAGTCTCAACAATATTATAGATCAAACTTTTCCAACTGGATGCCCATCAGTTCACTATATGCCTAGTGAAGACTGCATTGCTACCAAACTGGAGCTGATATAAAACATAAGATACCACATGAAATAATACGGTACTTACAGATGACAGAATTTCACATTTAACTCACCTGCTCTAGTTAAGTTAAATAAATGTTTAAATTGATATTCTGATAGTACATTTAAGAATTCTAAATTCTTTTTACTTTTATTTTTGTCTTAATTATGACACTCATATATTTTATATTTGAAACTGTTGCTTTGCACTCCTTTGCCATTTTTGTAATCATGGCAGGCTTTTGTATATATTTGTTTTGTTAACTATATAATGTACTGTACCTGACTATGGAGAGTTTAAATGTTAAACATTATGGGAGGAGGGGGGAAAGTCACAAACATTTCTTTGAACAACTCCATTATTTCAAAAAAAGAGAAGCCACTATGATTTCAAAATTACATTACACAGATGAACATTCAAAGGATGAGATTCTGTTCTTCAAAGAGCAAACAGAACTCTCAGTTCACATCTGATTTCTTGCCTTTTTTAAATTAAATTTAATTATCTGATTAATGACTATTTCTCCTATATGGAATTTGTAGACTTCTGGTTCTAAATTCAGATCACGTGAAGTAACAATTATAACATTCAAAAATGAAGCATGTTTAGAAAAATCAGTTTTCTAGACTTCAATGTAAGAATAGCAAATTCACCCATATCATGGTGGTTGCTGATGTATTTCAAAAGTGTAGTATATAATTAATCACATTGAAAAGCACGAGTATCCTATTGTAAAGATACCCTTCATAAAGAAAAATTTTCATTGCTGTCAAGCCCCTTCAATATTTGATGAAGTAATTTTACCCCCTCCTTCAAAAGACATTTTCTTTTATTATGTATCCTAAGACACTTTAACTAAAAACCCAAATCTGAATATTTCAATAAGGTTGTTTTATTATTCAGTAGATTCATGGAAATTTTACTAGGATGACAGAGAAAATTCCACACCATTCTGTCTCCACTAATACAGGTACATGGCTTCAGCTGGCAATATTACTAGGATTAGCATAGTATGATGAAATATTTAAAGGAATTTTTTTTCTAAAACCTAATAAATCAAATGACTGCCAAATGTCATTAAAGTGATGGTCTTTGACTTGAATATGCTTTTCATATTCAAATGTGAAAAGAAAGAGATGAAAGCCTAGAAAGGTTACTCGGTTTCAACTAATAACCTCGAGCACTTTACATTCACATGCATAAAAAATGAAATTGGCTCTATTGTCTAATTTTACTCCAGAAACAACTCTTTTCTTTTTTGCATTGAACAGATATATCAGCAGATGCATTTAAAATGATATTTTGAGGGGTTCTCCCCCACAAAAGTATTTAACAGTTATGTCAAACTAGTTTGTACACATACAAGTGAAATCCAAATATAATATATTGTATTAGCAAGTCTTTTTAAATAACTTAACATTTTGTTTGACATAGTTAGCATTTGTAATAATATGCTACAGGGAAAAACATTTATATTAGTTTCTATTTGCAGACAGAAGAAAGGAAAATCCACCTATAAATCTATGTACTGCTTTCTAATTTTTAAGATGGCAAATTATTAATTTTCATTGTTACAAAATAAAAAAATAAATGAATTGGTTTACACTTCAACAGCTAATATTTACTTCATATTTCACTGCTAGTATAAAAACCACACAGTTAATAAAAAATAAAAATGAATATAAATGTCACAACTAATATCAGCTATGACTAAAGTTTTAAACTACAGTTCTTGGTACTATGCTGCAGGACATTATATACTTATACTTTTCTTTTCCCCTAAATGTTAGATTTTTCTTTATTCTTGACAGCCAACCTATTAGCCCTAATTACTGTGAAAAATAACTCATTTATCATGCCCATTTATTTCCCTTCAAATAATTTTCCTTTGATGGAAATTATCGTTTTGTTGTTGATGTAATAAAACAAAATTCAAGAAATGTTTCAATGGATTATATGGGTTGTTGCAGTAATGACAGAACAATTTGTGTAACTGATAGATTGTTATTAAACCAATGAAACATTTAATTTCAGGATTTTGGCTTACATTAGTTAGTGTGTGGTATTAGTGTTAGCATGTAGTTCAGTTAAATGTTGCTTCTAATTGTATATAGGAATATCTTTATTACATGTAGACACCTAAGAATGAAACCATATTGTCATTAGTCTGTGATCAAGTTTAATGTCTCTCTGGAGAGATCTTTGTTATATTTTTGTTATGTTTTGTTGAAAATCCTCATCAGACTTCATTCCAGCATAATTGGATACAATTATAGAAATTTATATTATAGTTCCATTTAATATTATTGGGAGATTTGGGCTTCAGTTCTCTTACGCTTCAAGGGGAAAAAAAAAATCACAGGGCAAATCCTAAGCACTTCTAAATCGGCATTGCTTCATTGACTTCAACTAGAAATACACCAGTTGTCACCAGCTGAAGGTTTGGCCCCACGAGGCTAATGGACTTAGAAGACTCTCTGAACTCCCCCAGTGTACTTAGGATTGTGTACGTACTACAGGTTGAGCCTCTTAAATCTGGGACTCTCTGGTCCAGCAACATCTGTGGTCCGGCAGCTCCAACACCCAGGAATGCGAACCAGTCAGGGAATCCAGCAGAAGGGAGCCCCACCATGGGACCGGTGAGCCCTGTCCCCGGAGAGCCCCAAACAGGTGAGGCAGCAGCAAGACCTAATGTGCTCTGTCTCTGCAGAGCCCTGTCCTGGGGCAACAGTAGTGGGGCAGCTGTGGAGCCCCGTCTCAGGGAAGTCCCAGGTGGACGCAACAGCAGCTGCAAAGCCCTGTCCTGAGAACCCCCAGTGAGGTGGAGCCTAGTCTCTGGGAAGCCCCGGGCAGGACAGAAATGGGGCAGTCACAGAGCCCTGTCCCCGGGAAGCCCCAGACAGGTGGAACAGAAGCAGGGCCACGGTGCCTGGGGAGCTCCATCCCCAGAGAGTCCCAGCTGTCTACTGGCAACATATCGGAATTCAAGCCCTATAGCAGCAGAGCTGATGCCCAGTGGCACTGGGGCCGGAGCAGAGCCAGCTGGAGGCAGAGACAGTATCCTGATAGGCCGGTGGTAGGGGGTTCTTCCCATATCCTGCAAAGTCCCTCATTCGGAACTGGTCAGGTCCTGAGGGTGCCAGACCAGGGAGGTCCAACCTGTACTTCTCTTTCAGGAAGGTTTAAGTAATATGCTGAATACTCCTATATCAGAAGTGTAGAGTAGCAACATTTATTTCTTGGCTTTTTCATTTAATTTGTGTTGTCTGAGCAGGGATGGCTTCTGTAACAACTAGTACATTATATTCTACTGTTGCTTTAAAGAACCAGAGTGAAATCCTGACCCCAGTGAAATCAATGGGAAAACTCCAAACGGCCAAGATTTCACTCTCAGAATCAACAGTTTTAGGTAGTAACCTGGTTGGACATTTCTGGCCATTCTCATTGTCTGCACATGCCAGAAGAAAGATAGGAAGTTATAGATGCGGCTTAATAAGGGCATAAATGTATTCACTTATAATATATAAGAGAAACTGACAAACAATTGTACAGCACACGAAGGAGAGGAATCCATTTTCCACTATCCATATGTAGAACTCCAAATCTCTTAGATCCTTTAACAGGGGCCAGAAAAAGGAGGGAGGAGAATCGGCTCCCTGCTGATGAGACAGAGATGTTTCCACTTATTTGACTCTTAAGTGATACTTCCCTTTGA